CCCTTGATCCTCAATGCTAACATTTTCGAAATCCGTTTCTCTCCTTCTAAGTGCAAAATGTCTCTCCAAAATTGGTCTGGGTTAACCGTTGAACTGGTGATGGGGAATAAAATAATTAAATACATCGACCACTTCACTTATCTTGGAAGTCTCATCAGCCTTGGTGAGTGGGTGTCTGACGAAATCTTGGCACATGTTTTGATAGCCCGTTTGGCGTTTTCCAGTTTTCTTCACTTATGTCTTACACGAGATATCCGTCTACCAACCAAATAGCATTTATACTACGCAACAGTTCGTTCTGTTCTATTTTATGGGCTGTGAATCATGGTGTATGAAAGTAGAAAGTGTGCATAGGCTCCAAGTTCTTAATCATGGGTATCTTGAAAGCGTTACTCATATATTTTTAGACCAACATGTGACCAATGTTGATGTAAGACATAGTATACTAGGTAAAGATGGAAAGTCGGTTGATGAGGTTGAAAATCTTAGAACATATATGTCTAGCCACCATCTACCTTGGTGAGTGATGCTCTGTTGTATATGACTAGACTAGAATGAAGATAGGGGCTACCAAACCAAAACGTGCCATCAGTTCATGATGCTCATTGATAGATATAACCTACCTGGTTGGGCTCCTAATAATAACTGCAAATAATCAATAACTGGGTGTATGCAATTTAAAATGTCAATAGATTTAACTGCACTAACTAACTGTATGATAAACTACTGATGCGCACATTTGCTTCTTCCTGATATTTCACAGTTAACTCCATATGCTGACTATTAACTTTTATCATTTACTGGAGTAAAATTTCTCACCCTTACGCCTAACTATGTGAGAGTTTTACAAATTAGTCCTTGTGTTAATCACGAAGTCATGATAAATACCACCAGCATCAAAGAACCTCAAGGAAAACAATCAAACCTGGTTTCATCTGAATATTTATCATGGTTGATTAAGTCCTGTACAATAAACTGCTCATAAAGTATTCACTGTTTTCTAGGTTATACAGATGTTTCCTTGTGCCATTTCGAAGCGTATCTTGGGATAAGAGTCGGTAGTGCTAAGGTTAGGACAGGGTATTAGATAAAAATGACAAGTCGACTGATAAGCCAGTCAATCTTCAGCTAATATGGTAGGTACATGTATTATGTATGTCCGTCCACTGCCTAACTCGATGTGTAATGTTTGCTGATATACCAAACAGGGTAGAGGCGATCAAACCAAAAAGTTGCATCAGTCCGCCAAGTCGTTGACTATTGTACTGAACTGTGTAAGTAGATACAGACTGTTTGTTCGGGGTCTGTGTTATTGTTGTGACCAATGTTTGAAAAATTTGGGTGGCATGGTTCAGAATCAGTCTCACTAATGCAGGTACTCCTTAAATCCTAAGTTATAAAGCATTTCGTTGCTGTTTTATTTTACAACTATTTATACGGCTGGTTAATTCTATTACACTAGCATTTTATCTTGCTATCCCGAGTTGGTGACAACCTGAAGCTAAACACGTACGTCTTTAATTCAGCGTTGCTATGATTTACTTTCACAAAAAGAGGAACATAATGATTGATTAGATTAGTACTGTTATGTTTATTAATTCTAGCACAAACGTTTGTTTTTCTTTTTCAGAGGAGATTTAGCCTTTCCAACTGCTGATACAATAGGATTAACAGATCGCAAAGACACACCTGAAGCTGTTGAGCGTCTAGCTAAACAAATAATTGAACAAGGTGTCAAGCGTAAAGCTTACAGTCGGAGACGTCCATTCGATGCCGATGCTGATATTGACTATATTAATGAGCGTAACAAACGATATAATGAGTTACTTGACCGACATTATGGGAAATATACAGCTGAAATTAAACAAAACCTTGAAAGAGGCACAGCGATATAATTTATTTGGAAAACACTATGTACAGTTCTTGTATCGTAAAAGAATTCATCGCCTAATTCATGTTTATTTTGTCAAGAAGTGGGTTTGGTTTATCGTAACTTTCATTTCATTTCTACAAATTGTACAAGGATGCTGAATTTTTTTAAACATTATTTTTTGATTAAAGTTGACTATTTTTTTCGAAACACATTAACAGTTGAAATAATTGCACTTTGATTTCAGTGTGACGTTAGAACTGATGTGTTGATTGTATTTAAATCACAGCAATTAGATGATAACTGCTAGAATGATTAGAATTGTTCATCTTAGCTTCAGTAGAATCGGCCAAAAACTGTATCTTTTGGCGTATGGTTCTCAAAGGAATAAAAACACATGAGTAAGAGATATTCTCAGAAATCAGGTATTCGAGATGCTTTAATCTCATGTCTATTCGTCTCCAAGGTTAATTGATGCTAATAATGTTGTGACATGTGGTATGCCAGAGAGTTGAAACTGATACATAATTTGCCTTGATATGAGCTCAACTGGTCACTCAAGCGGAAAGAGTGAATGAGAAAGAAAGCTTACTGATCAAACCGAATGATATATTGCTTACGCCTGTTACCCGTCGTGAAGGAGCATAGGTCGTTCATCAGCATTCTTCATCTATCTCTGTCCTGGACAATCCTTTCCAGTTGCTATTCATTCTTTTCATGTCTGCTTCCAATTCTCGATGCAGTGTGTTCTTTAGCCTTCCTATTTTTCGTTTCCCTTCAGGATTCCAAGTTAACGTTTGCTTCGTGATTCCCATTATGTATGTCCTATCCACTTCCAGTGTTATTTCCTCCTCAGCTGGAACCTGGTTTGTTCTTTCCTTCAGCAGGCTGTTGCTGATGGTATCCGGTCAACCCATTCAGTATATTACGCAGATAATTGTTTAGAAATAATTGTACATTTTTATGATGGTTGTAGTAGTTCTTCAACTTTCAGCTCCATACAATAAAACTGTCTTGACGTTCGTATTAAAGATTCCGACTGTGATATTAGTTGAGTATTTTTGAGTTCTATATGTTCTTCAACTGTAGGAGTACCACCCTTGCTTTGTCAATCCTTGCCTTCACGTCTACATCGAGTCTTTCTTATTCATCGATGATGCTGCTGACCAGGTACGTGAATGTTTCCACCTCTCCTAGAGTTTCTCCATCAAGTGTGATTGGGTTGGTGTTCTCCGTGTTGTATTTGAACTTGTTGCTTTTCCCTTGTGTATGTTGATGTCTAGTGATACAGAGGCTGCTGCTCCATATGCATTTGTTGGTGTATGGGATAGAACGGCTAATTCATCTGCGAAGTCCAAATCATATAGTTGCATCCAACCTGTCCATTGTATTCTGTGATTTACTTGAGATGTCCAGGTCTTCATAATCCAGTCAACCACCAGAACAGAAACGAGGAGAATAGACGGCCTTGTCTGACTTCGGTCCCTACTTGGAATGCGTCTGCCAGCTGTCCTCCATGCACGACTTTGAGAATCATATATATCTCCCTTGGAGAGTTAAGCCACCATTCGTGTTCCATCCTATAGGAATGAAAGCCATTTCTTGGTTAATCATGTGCACTTTACACTTAGCCGACTTCTGATTGGCCCGAGATGTCAGTTATTACTATCGTAATGACACGATAACTATCCACCTTAGTAACTAGCGATTCTTTACGGCCGAAATCAGCTTAAAAACATGAGATTAATAAATAATTCTGAAGGTCACTCGTACTAACCTAGCAATATTTACAAGTTATTTGGCTGATTTTGTTAAATTTAACTAGAAGAGGATCACCACTGTGATAGGAAATGACTAAATTATCATTACAGGATGTCGTGGAAATTGTTGATATCGAAGTTTCACATGACGAAGAATTGGTTGTGCCTATATAATCACTGAACTGCTATTTCGTTCTGGTAATGCGCTTTCACAAGAGATCGAATATACAATCCTTAAGCCTCGCGGCGAGTGCTTAACTTTAAAATTACTGAGTTGTCATTCAATGACTGACATCTCTGACGTCAGCCCATTCGCGATACTACGCGGCCGCCATATACTACCATTGGTAATATTTGTTTCATGTACAACGAAGTTGGACCCTATCAATCACGGCTTGTCACTAGAAACCCAGGTATCACATTTTGACATCAGTTTAGTAAGCGTATGACGATTTTTATTATAAGGTGTTTAATTTAAAGTCTAATAACACTAGATTAAAAATTAACGTCTTAGGTTTTTGGTCATTGAAGTAAGGATTTTTGTGTGGTGTTCATTAAATCATAGGGTCATATATGGTCTAAATAACCTTATCCAACAATCATCCATTATACCACTTAATTATTCAGCACAAACTTCTCAATCATTTTTCCATTGGACTTTTGATTAGTTAAAAATGCGTTTGTACTTCTGCTAAATAGTAAATTTTTGCATTTACATGTTAGGTGTTGTCTTCTGATATGTATGTGGTTTAGTGAGATTTAAGGTGATCGGAGGAACAGCTACTTATTGTTATTTGTGTGTTTTTAGTTAAGATTCGCTCTTATCGTCGTATTAATTCGCTTGGCTATATTGCTAAGTGACTTTTGTTAATAAGAGCGTGTTAACGCGATATTTTTTAAAGAATCTCCTTATCCAACTACAAAGTAGGAGTGTAAACAACCAACACGTTATGTAGATATCTGTCTTCTTGTGTTACTATGGAAGCATTAATAAAGAGGTTTGTTAATACAAAACTATAGGCTAATAAAACTACATGACTCTACTGCTTAGCCGACAAACGGCACGTTCTGTTTCCGAAGACAGTAAGGTGTAAAAGTAGTTAAAACACATTAAGGTTTATTTGATGATAAATGATTTGTAAGTGGTGACAAAAGGAATTAGGATGTGCTTGATTTTTAAATCTGGTTCCAACACATCGCACTTTTTGGCTGGTAGACTTGGGTTTAGTTGCCGTTCGAAGGTTAGTTCCTTCTACAACTACTTGATATACACTAGCAAGACATGTGATTAATGAAAAACCAAGGAAATGAAATATATATTTTGATAAAATAATGTATATTCTAGAAATATACAACGAAGAAAATCACATTTAAGATTTATGTTTCTTCTTATTTCCTGTTCTTGGTCTAACTATATGAGCCTTGCCTCTTGTTGGTTTAAGGCCATGCTCAGCATGTACACCTTGTAAATAGCTTCTGCTTGGTATTTGATGATCAGATCGGATACCACAGAGTGCAGATCGACTAGTAACGTCATTTAATGGGAACACCACTGATGATGCATTGCTTAAATTACATTGGAATTCCAAAACATTGGATAGTTCTTCATCTTCAAATCCTAATAAGCCGTTAGTAGCTAATGGAAGCACTTTTGGATTTTTAGGACGGGCTGGTCTTCGGTCAGGAATACGTTGGTCTGCACAATAAATTGGTTCGTCAGCATACTTTCCACCCTTTGGGATTCTTACTGGTTGCTACGAACAAAACAAAATGACATCATTTAGTATATACTACTTACTTTTAAACCGCGCCGTCTGTGCACAAATCTTTTCGCAAAGTGAAATTCTAACTGGCCATCTTCGTGTAAAGTAACTGGGATTCGACGTAGACTAGCATGTCCACACCATGGGCAAAAGTAGGTGTCCGTACGTTTAGTAGGCCTGTAGTAATAAAATGGAGAAAAATTGAACTCAATTATATTAAAATCCATCAAGATTCATTTGCGTCAAGCAGGACAGTGAAGCGTGATGTGATAAACTCATTACTGAACAATATGCAATCAATCAAGTATTTTGCTCTTTCTCTTTAAATGTTCTCAGTTCCTAAATTCTATAAGGACTGTCACTAGTGTCTCACAGGTTTAACTTGAGTATATTAGTAAGATTTGAGATGATCTTCGCTCGGACAAGTCAACTACCTAGTAAAATAGTTCAAATCCTACAAATAAAACACTATCCCTGATGTTTAATGAAATCGTGACACGAATTCAAAAAATTCGGTTGGCTTTTACTAAATTGCGTTACCTGTGGGGTAGACGAGAATATTTCTGGTAACCAAAGGGCAAGTTTACTGTGCAGCAGTGTGTTTTGTTCTGCTTTATAGACGTAAGGCATGTTCGTTAAGAATAAAGGATATTCGTAATATACTAGTATTCGACTATGGATGTTTTCAGACCATTGGTCTCGTATTTTGAGATCATTGAGTCAGACATAGAGTACCAGTTAGTCAGCAACAACGTAGAACGTCGTACGTACGTACATGAGTTTAAGTTGCCATATCACATTATCACAGATACAATTGTCGTTTCAAATCCCATAATAGTAGAAGTAGTAAAAGTATAAGCAGTAATCGGGAACATTAGGGTTTGAAGATGTTATTCAAGGAGTATAATCCAGTGAAACAAATTCGGAAAGAGAAAAAACGGACATGAAGAATTCAGAAGATTAGAAGAGTGGATGCACCTGTACCACTGCAAACGATTTTGAGCCATGTCATTCAGGGTCTCTAACCATCGGTTGCTATCGACACCATAAGGTCCGCCCAAATGTCTTTCCTTTTCGTTTAGTTTACCTACTTGAGCACTAAAGTCACCAGTCACTATTACATCAGAGCGCTGTCAAGTTCTACACTGCACAACGGATACACGGGAAACTTGTCAAGTGAGCAACGGAAATACTTCTACTGAACACTTTGAGTTCGAATCAATTATAATTTAAACAAATAAATAAGTCACGAATGTGCATTAGTTCGAATTCTAACATCTGTGCAGCACGTGAGTAAATTAATAAGGTGTATTAGTACAGTAGTCGAAGAAATAATGGAGTCTGTAATGGTGAAAATAACTAAACATAGAAAATATAATTTGAAAAGTGAAGTGAGATTAAACGGTGAATACCCTTTCACTACGCGACTGATTTTTAGCCATGTCACCCAACGATGTATAATAAGTGATTATGATTTTATGATGCAAACGACATCTGGATAGTTTTTTATCCACCAACAGTCAATAATACCATGAACTAGTGCTTTGTCTTAGTTTGGCCATCCCCAAGCATTTTTACAACCTACTTCCACGCAAATCGCAGTGGGGAATTTAGGCTGGTGGCAGTTGAACATGGTAATTTGAAAATGAAGTGGGTATTTACGAGTGATCATATCACCAGTAGACCATTTACAAACTTGGTCATTAGACCATTATTAATCAATAGGTAAATATAAACCATATGTTTCCTAGACTCACTTAAAGCAAGCACAACACCAAAGTAAATGTGTTCTTGGTTGACGAATACGCAAACCATTTATGCTTACTATGTCGAGACCTGCGTGGAAAAGAACATTTTGCATAGCAAAATCAGTTGTCAAGCAAGCTACAACGTTTGTTTCAACTTCATTGATTGGTTCCAGTATATCTCTAAAACAAAATACGTTTGTATCAAGAAACAAATCCAGAAAATTAAAATAAAGAGAATGAATAATTATTTATTCTACTGTATCTTGTTTATCAAATAGTACTTGGTATTTCCCGCTTACAGATGTACTGCTGTGTCAGACAATCAGTTATAAGCAAAGTACAGTTTATCACTTATATTTATTGGTTGCCACAACATAGCACAACCAGACAAATACCAGGGTAATAGAAGTAGTAACAGTATCAGTGGTAATAAAGAGCATTACGCTTAGATATGATTCGAGAAGGACGACTCTCCGTTACAAAAAGTATGTATTAGTTCTAGAGCTTAAAATGTAATTTTACTTGCATGCCCAAACTAAAGTAAACGGGAGAGTATAAAAACCTTCGATCTATTGGTTGAATTACTTTGCAGAATATTAGCGAAACTCGCACAAGGAAATATATAAATTAATGGAAATCTTCACAAGATCAGTGATAAATGCATGAAAAATTAGTGTTCGAGGAAATTCGCTAAATGTGGCGGCGCCATACATTTAATCTATCCTTGAGTCCACTGTCATATTAAAAGTTAGGCATAAACTGTGTTACGTACAATGCTGTTGAGACATTGTTATATCTACATCATAAAAATATTAGACCCATATGTCAGCCATTTAAAAATGCGACATTTGGCCAGTGCGTACCAGATTCAAATCTTATTCTGTTAGGCACTACCCTGAACCTTGCGCAACTGTATCGGAAGGAACAGCATGCAAAATTACATAGGTTAACTGAAATACATAAATTTAAGTCCGTCCATGAATTGAGCAAATAAATCAATAAATACAGTAACCGATTAGTTAGAAACAACCAAACATAATCAAAAAGGTTAGCATACGCAATTTTTCCTCCAAGCCCGAAATTAGTCATGGCCTTCTCATCAAAGTTATTTTCTGTTATCCAATCATCATCATCCGGTTCAGATGTTTCTGTATCACTGTTTTCAGATCCAGATGTTTCTGCCCCATCACATACATCAACGGATGGATTGCTTTTTGTGTTCGATTTTGGCAATTGAGAACGAGCTAAAGACCCAAGGTTACTGGGCAAAGGTTTCTGACGGTATGGGTATATGTATAGTGATATAACAATGACTTACCACATCCTTAATTTTTGGTTCGCCGATATATCTTTTATGCAGTTCATAAGTTAAAGCGATCACATTAATATCTGTTGCAGAAAGAACTGACAGATCCCCAGTTTGTTTTGCAATACCTTTAACTATGATAATAACTAAGGTACCAGATTTTCTTGATACTTACTTATGTTAATAGAATTAGTTTCTGGTACTTGACAATTCAGGGCATACGGTAAACAATTCATATATTCACGTGTTTGAACATCTTTTATTTCAGCTAAAACTTGTGGTATAGTGTAAATACTTGCCCCGAAAGTCTAGAAACGCACATGATGAAAGATTTTACGGATTTCACTTACCTCAAGACGTGTACGTTTTACAAAAGGTGCTGTATCAACAACAATATGTGACGTACGCTCATTGAGAACCATGAATAAAGAAGCTAGGGAGTGCATCCAGAGAAGGAAAAGAAGTAAACGTCGAGAAGTAAGAAATAAATAAGCAATACACCTTTATCGTGATATTAGTGCTTCATACTATATTATACTGTAATTTACCGTCTTAAACCCACCTTTTGGATTTCGAGCATTTTAAGGATCAGATGTTAATCAGTCAGTAACAACGTAGAACTTCGTACGTACGTTCGAGTTGCCACACCACATTAGCAGAGGTGCAGAGGTAGAGTATGAGCGGTAATCCGAAAGGAGTATAATCCAGTGAAATAAATTTGGAAAGAGAAAAAAAGGGACATGAATTCAGAAGATTAGAACTCGGCAGAACACAAAGAGTGGATGCACCTGCGCCATTGCAAACGATTTTGAGCCATGTCATTCAGGGTCTTTAACCATCGGTTGCTATTATCTCGCGGACCCCAACCAGGTAGTCTACACCTACCAACATGACTGAGTTCACTTGTCAGTGACTTCATGGACTTGTGCCATGTTTTGGTCTGGCCGCCCCTAGCTTTCTTCCAACCTACTCCTATACCACTGAACATCGCACGTCGAGGCAGTCGGTCGTTGGGCATACGTAACACGTGTCCCAGCCATCTCAACTGATGAAGTTTCACTACTTCATCAATTGATTTGCCATCCTTACCTAGTACCCGTTTCCTAACAACTGCATTACTTACTCGATGGTCCCATGATATACGAGCAATATTTCGAAGACACCTATGATCAAATACTAGTAACATACGAATATCCTCTACTCTCACTGGCCATGTTTCACTGCCATAAAGTAGGACGGAACGAACTGCTGCACAGTAAACACGTCCTTTGGTTGATGGATGGATATCTCGCCTACGCCATAAATGACGCAAATTGGCAAAAGCTAGTCGAGCCTTCTGTATCCGTGCTGAGATTTCGTCACACACCAGACCACAATGGCTGATGAGACTTCCAAGATAAGTGAAGTGGTCGACACACTCAACCACTTCACCCACTATCATAAGTTCCAGTGTCGATGCAACCCAATCCTGAAGCAACATTTTGCATTTCGAGAGAGAGAATCGCATGCCGAACATACTTGCATTGTTGCATATAGTGGTCAGAAGACTGCATTTTGTCAGCATCTTCACCAAATAGAACTATATCATCGGCATATTCTAAGTCAACAAGTGGATCTCCCGGTAAAAGTTCAACTTCTGGAAATTTAGATGAGGAAGGTGGACAACCCTGACGAACACCACTTGAGGTGATCAATTCTGATGACAGTTCGCCATAACTTCTCACCCAACCAGCTGTGTTCGAGTAGAGAGCCTTTACAAGGTTAATGTACCTCTATGGTACTCCTTTCAGTGACAAACACGGTCATAGAACCTCACGATCAACAGTCAAATTCCACCTTAAGGTCGAGAAATACTACGATTGTGGGGCATCAGTTATTTATTTATTTATTTATTTATTTGAACACATAAATATTGGTACAAGAGAGCGCCAATATATATGCGCCACACAAAACAATGGGAATTCGAAGAGAAGTAAAAAGAAAAAAAAAGAAAAAAAAACTAAGGAACGCAAAAGAAAAAGAGAGTAATGACGAAGAGGTACAATCAGAAGAAATCTTTCAGGTAAAGGAGAGACAACCACTTTTTATGAAGAAAGTAAAAGAAGGTTACAGCAGGATCGCCACTGGCTTCTATTCTGAGCCATATCTGATAACGTCTCTAGCCACTGTGTAGCACCATCTCTCGAACCCCAGCCAGGGAGTCGTGAAGGACCAACACAAGCCAGTCCTTTGCAGCTTTCTTTCATGCCACGACACCATGTCATGCACTGACCACCTCTCCGCTTCTTCCAACCAGTCCCAGAGTCGGCAAATAATGCACGACGTGGAATTCTCTGGGACGACATTCGTAGAACATGTCCAAGCCACCGAAGTCGATGTTTCAAGATGGTGACACCAATTGAGTTATCATCTCTGTGCCCGAACACACGATGCCGAACCTCTGCATTACTGACATGGTGTTGCCACTGAATGTCAGCAATCCTTCGGAGACAGCGATGATCGAACACAGAGAGTCGTCTAACGTCCTCAACTCGGAGAGGCCAGGTTTCACAAGCATAGAGCAAAACTGCTCTCACCGACGCGTTGTAGATCCGGCCTTTTACAGCCAGACTAACATCACGAAGGCGCCAAAGGTGGCCCAGATTGGCATAAGCCGCTCTGGCTTTCACTATTCGTGCATTGATCTCATCACTCACACCCCCACCAGCACTTATGCAGCTACCCAGATACACGAACTTCTCAACTACGTCTATCTGCTCACCGTCCAGGGTGAGTACAGGATTAGAATCCTGCCAGTCTTGTAGAAGTACTTTGCACTTCGAAGGTGCAAAGCACATACCAAACCTACGGACATTGATTGCCAACTGATTAAGTGCAGATTGCATGCCTTGGGCATTATCGCACAGTAAGACAATATCGTCCGCATACTCAAGGTCGAGAAGTCTTTCTCCAGGCAACAGATCCACACCACCATTACTTACATCCATCAGAGCTGTTTCCAGAATGTCATCGATGGCAAAGTTGAAGAGGAATGGTGAGATTGGGCAACCCTGCCTAACCCCACTGCTCGAATGGAACAATGGAGAGAGGTGGTTGCATGCCCTCACTCTGCCTGAGGTGTTTTTATACAGGGCTTTTAGGATGTTAATAAACTTCTCAGGCACACCCTTCTTCAATAGACAATCCCAGAGAACAGTTCTGTCCAACGAATCGAAGGCAGCCCTGATGTCAAGAAACACTACGATTGTTGGCCTTTGAAAAGTATGGCGGTGTTCTAACATTTGGCGAAGGGTGAAGATATGGTCAATACATCCTCGACCAGAACGAAACCCAGCCTGCTCCTCGCGAGTCAATCTTTCTCGGGTTTTGAACAACCTACGAAGAATGACGGAAGCCAATAGCTTGGACGCAATCGGAAGTAAACTTATCCCCCGATAGTTGTTACAAGAACGACGTGAACCCTTTTTAAAGATAGGGACAACTATCGACTCATTCCATGACGTTGGTACACTCTCTAGTTCCCAAACCTTTGTAAACAACGTCGTCAATTCCTTAGTCAAAAAGTCACCACCATCTTTAAAAAGAGCCGGAGGTAAGTCATCTGGGCCAGGTGATTTGTAACGCTTCAAGAGTTGGAGTTCCTTGCGGACTTCCTCCTCATTTGGTGGATCAGTCGTCACCGGCCATGGAGGGCAGGACAGTCTGACCGATGTTGCCGGAGCAGCAGGCCAGTTGAACTGCCCTTCGAAAAATTCTGCCCATCGTCCAAGACGTCGATGGATGTTAGTGATTGGCATCCCATCATCCTCGCAGATTGTTTCACTCACACCAGACTTCTTGCTGCCAGTGGCTCGGATGAGTTGGAAGAGCTTCCGGTAGTTACCAGATGCAGCTGCTGCTTCCAGTTCATTAGCACGCATCGACCACCAGGCTTCTCGGTCCTTACGCAAGCTTTGCCCGATTTCCTTACATAGCATCCTTCGTTTATGGTCAAACTCACGGTCACCCGGAGTAGACCGACGGGCTTCAATGAGTTGTAAGGAACCAGAAGAAACCCAGTGCTTAAAAGCGGGACGTTTCGCAAACCCACAACTGACTGTTCCCGCCATTTTCATGGCGTCATGCAATTGCAACCAATGCTCATCTATACTTTTCGGCGGAGTGGTAGCTAGCCTAGAGGCTAGCTCGGTTCGATACTTACTTGTAACAGAAGTTGCAACCAGCTTGCTAACATCAATCCGTTGATGGCGTTCACTTCGTTGTCCACTGAAAAGTAAGGCAAGATTGGCGCAGACCAAGGCATGGTCAGAGTCCAGATAGGTACTCCAAAAGGAGCGGCAGTCTTTTACACAACCACGCCAGCGGTAGCTATTAATTATTAATTATTAATTTTTAATCAGCTGATGATAGCGTACAAGTTATCTATTACTAAACTTCATGTAAAATACATAGAGCTTTATTTTAATTCTGGTTGACTGACTGAGGGGCGTTGGTACACCGTAATTCTACCACCATATGTACAGGAATGATGGAAAAGATTTAGCTGACGAGTGCTTTTGGTAGTGTTGTGTTCTGCTAGGTGGAGCATTACCGAATTATTAGACAAAACGTGCACGATGAGCTATGATTAGTACGAGCAGCGATACTGCTATTTAGTTGGCATATGGACTCCAGAGGAATGAACAACAACCAAGTGACTAAGTGACCATGTGAGAACTCCACGAACACAAATTAACTTTTACCACTCAAGTTTACCTTTATTAATATGAACAGATATTTAGATCTAATAACCAACCTTAAGATTTGATGGAAAAAGTATGGCAGTAGATGTTGCTTCGTACAAAATACTAGTATAAGAACAATAAACTGGTAACTATTTGTCGGAAAGTTTTAACTGTTAATTTAAAACTAAGAATAAATCTTGGTTGGTTTTTCTAATGACAGGCAGTTGTATTAAAACCAAGGTTTTAGCATATATATTAAAATAAGTATGTATGTATACGTACATGCTTACCCAACTACGCAGTGGGATTCGATTATATAGAAAAACCCTACCGTAAATCTGTGTAATACATGCAAAATAAAATTATTCGAAACAAAGTCCCCGAGCAATCCATCGAAGTTGTATAGTATAGGACCCACTGACCTTCAAAACAACATATGATCCAACCACCCGTGTAGTGCGAAATTCGGAAGTGTGACTAGCATACTTTCAAGCTTCAAACCCCAGAGAAAAATAATCTCTCTCTATGAACGACTTGTAACCTTTCAATATTAATTATAAACATAGTTAATTCGCAAGACAAACTACTAGCTTAGTGTGGCGGGTCAAGAATCTTGGTCAGATCATGTATCAATTTGCAACAAGACTCGTCACATGTTGTTACTAGACAGGTTATCACTTTTATATCATATTAACTCTCTTAACAAAGAAAAATGTCTTCCTTTGGGGGATCTTCAAAATAGGAGAGTTTCATCAGAAAAGACTGGAACACCAGTGTTGGAAAGTTTTTACGTTTTAGGGCCAGTGAAATTTCACTGAGCCCTAGCAAAATCATCCGTCAGTTGGGTCATTGAATATTGTAGGTCGACTTGAGCGCGTTCATCTCGGACTCGGCAAGCCAGTTGAATGTCCTTTGGCATAATAGTTACACGTTTGACATGGATGGCACACAAATTAGTGTCTTCGAGAAAGCCAGGAAGGCAGGCATCGCTTCCTTCTTGAAGGGCAGAAACTGCAAAGCTTCGGAAACGAAGGTCAGTCTTGAAGTCTTGCGCGATCTCCCAGAACAAAACTGGGAGGGCAGTTCGCGTATCAGTAGCTCGGTGGACTTTTGATAACGACGAATTTCACGTAGGGCATCTGTTCCAGGACGATAACGATGAGGTTTCTTAACGCCACCTATAGCTGGCGAACTCTTTCGTGCCGCTTTGGTAGCCAAGTGCTTTCCTGGAGCCTTCCCACCTATACTCTTACGGGCAGTCTGCTTCGTACGTGCTACTGGTGAGCTGAATGCAATTCTGTACACTACATGATGACATGTAAGTCTGTTACTTGCTCTAAGGCCAATGTAGTTACATTCTTTATATTCTGATATAACTTTTAGTGTCATCAATTTTTTTTAAAATTTATGTAACTTTAATTCCATTCAGGGTTGTGGAGACAGATTGACTCGGACTTGGCTATCCATCCATCCCTGTTTTCTGAATCACTACTATATGAATATTTATCGTATGACTAATAGATACCTGTATTGTCATATTTCTATATGACCCTTTTGTAAGCTTCCAGTAGACTCAACTAATACGCATTTTGGTAACTTTATTCATTACTTATTAGTTACATTCTACTTGGAGATTCTAAAATGAAGTGGTTTGGAACGAAGAATAACTGCTGCGTTTAGTCTGAACCCGGGTGCTCCTGTACAGTCAACGTCATAGACGAGGCGGTTTTGTTAGTTATATTGTACATAATAATATAAATTAAAGTGCAAATTACTGCCTAAACAAAGATTATCGCTCAGCTATTTAACCAATATTGTAGGCCAATCAGAAGTGACACAAGGGACAATTGCATCTCTTTGGCTAAGAAACGGATCAATATCTAATGAGTTAGTATGATATATACAAAAATAAGTATTTGTGCATATTATCTGGTTGCTCAATACACTTTTCCGCTCATTCAATCGATCCAACATCCGCCATGTCCAACACGTCGAGTGAAAGAATGTAGATGTAGTTTTGGAAAACAGTACTTCAATGAGCTTAAAACAACGATAAAAAACAAATTAAGCCATCTTAACTAGTACCAAAACCTCAATTAAGTGAATGGCTGAAGGGATAAAAATAGATTATCTGCGAAAATATAAAGGCAGAGGGATTTCCATATACACTAATACAGCACTTCCAAAAAGCGTCTTACACTGCTTTCTGTGCCCTCCTCTGTTCATGGTTCGATTGTGATCGAAATGTGACGCCTTATTTGGTGTCCTGTATGATCAAGCAATCTAACCATGTGGTTGCATGATCCCATATCTATAAGTGAATAGGCTACATCAGAGAACTAATCTGCCTCCTATCGGCGTCTGATTTCCTGTCGGGTAAGAAATGACTTCGAGGACCTATAGGGGTAAAGGGTTTGGTTGAATTTATCAGGTAGATTTCGTAAAGGGAAACTCCCTAAGCCTTTGACCTAGTGGTCTAATCGAAAAGACAGCGGATTAACGTTAGATGAAGTACCATGCAAATGGTGGCTAACAATAGGTTCGTACAGCATTTGTTTCCTTGGGGTCTTTTAGCCTATATGCACTATTGGTTTGAAATCAGGTTTCCCAACTGTCCTAGGTGGATGCTCCATATCCACCAACCAGGTTATAGTGCCGAACATTCGCTTTTCGTCCTCCCAATTTCACAAAAAATTTCCGCCGTGAGAACGATTCCCCTGATATTGGCTGTATATCTTTACAAACGGCTGTTCACCTTTAACTTACCTCTTTGATTTGCCAATGGTATATTAGGCTGCATACGCATAATATCCCAAATGGATAAATCTATGTTCGAGCATTAATCAGCCTTAAAACAGATGCTGAGATGGTGGAGATTTGTGGCTCAGGTGGATGGATTTAAAGTTTTGTTCTCTGATTTGTAAGTTTGGTCGTGGAGCTTAAAACGTTCTTCTGAACGACATCAGCGAAAACTTCAGGTAGAAGTGAAGTGTTTGAATTACTTTACATGTTGTCCATAGTTTGTCCTGTAGACCTCGATGTTGACTGGTTCATTTTGACCTGAAGCCTATCATTGTTTACTTTTTTGTTTCGGTTGTATCTCTCGTTGGTTTAATTTTTGTTCCTATGTTTGTCCATAATCAGATCGACTTCGATATGCTCGTTGATTGACCTGAGTGCTGGGCTTCTGAAAATTTCCTGGTGTTTTTGGAGTTGCCTCTATTTAAAATTTCGACATTTTCTCTGTCGAATGTATGTCCTCATGCATTGATATAAGCGAGGATATGTCAAAACGTTTGACCGCTAATTATTGTCCATGCAGGCGACGATGAAGTGTCCGCTTTGCCCGACAGTATTTTTTGCAATCAGCACAATTTATTTGGTAGATGATGTTTGGTTTGTCTCCTTTTGTCATTTCATTCTTTGGTTTCCATAGGTCTGATTGTAGTGATTTTGTTGGTTTGTGTGCAACACCTATTCCGAAGGGTTTCAACAATCTTTTTGTTTCTTATGTGCCTTCTATGTACGGTAGGGTGATCCTTTTGTTGATTTCTGTACTTCACTTTGTTCCTGATGATGTGTGTGGCTGATGATTTTCTGAAGTTGATTGGGTAGCCGATCTTTTGGAAGATTGTATCTAGGTATTTTTCATTTTTTCGTGCTGCAGTACTAGTTTGTAGAGATCAGTATATGTACCCTCGTGTGTCCATTAATTTTGTAGTAACTCGCTTAAGGTAAACTGCCTTTCTTATTACAATCTGTGATCGAGGTTAGTATATCCTTATGCACGAAATCTGTATTCAAAACAATTAATGCCAGCATTTCAAAATAACGTTTGGCCAAAAAAGTTGTTTCATTGTTAGATCGACTGACAAGGTGTTCGAATCCAGAGTAATGTTGGCCGGCTACTAACCGAAGATTAAGAATAATCAAAATTGTACAGTTCCAACAGGCACGAAACAAAAATTCTATGCATTTCTGTCACCTTGGTTTAATTGTGCATTATCATTGGACTGAAGCATGTCTGCGCGTGAATGATGTAGATTGTGTAAAACTGAGGACCAAATAATGAGGTTTATTTTGTAAAATTGTTACCAGTGAAATTTAAAAATAGTTGAAAAAGAAGTGAACAAGTTTGATCTAAAAATGTAAGTTTACAGTTTAATTACAAACTTCTTTAAAACTTGATACTAAAGATTAGTAAAGAAAGAATAAATAACTTTTCAGAAGTACATTTAAATCATTATTTATTCACAACAATATACAAGAATTTATGAAATAAAAGTCAAACATTCTTTCAGTTAATATACATGTAATGTTGTTTTCAAGTAATGACAAGTGAATGAGTAGGGCCATCTGAAATATACTTCATTCATTTTGAACTGCTAGACAATTATTTACTAGTTTAAGCAGGGCGGGATTTTCCAAAGCAGCTGCCACACGTTCTTTATCAGCAAGCTGCTTATTTATTTCATCTTCAGAATCATGTGTACCAGGTTTCACCTTGACTTCAATCTATAGAGGGAAAAAAACAGGAAAAAAAGAGGGACAGAAAAATATGGAGGTAAGTGATACAAATATTTTAGGGAAAATATCAAAGTTTCGATAATATAATAAGACGAAGATTATCAGAACTATGTGATATATTAGCGCAATACATTCCGAACAATCTGAGTCCACATATACTTGTGAAGAGCATTTATGTATAAAAATAAAAGGTGAAATAGAAGTTAGCAGTGGGAGTTAAATCACGTTCCGAGTATCTGATGCTGCCGCAAGGACTTTCCTCATCTTGTATCAGCATGGTTGAATTCAGTAGCTCCGAATCAATCCAAATTACGCTCGAAGATATCTAGTTTAGGCATTGTTGAACAGATGTCAGTCAGCACATCACTCAAGACTTCACACATTAGGGTGTGTAAACATGTACCAAAATCGTTTCAGAAACAAATACAATCAAGTGACCCAATAAGAGCAGAGGATAAACATCCATCATCCTCTATTGATAAACATAAAATTGAAACAGGCCATAAAATTGATCTAAACTAGGCTTTTGTTATGTAGTATCTAAGTGTAAAAGGGCGTATACTAAGGTTTATTGAAGCCTTCGCCATACGAAAATTCAAATCCCCTTTGTGTATTCAAAAACAGTTTGTTCTTACCTTAAACCTACCCTGGTAATATTGACTTATTATCCAGAGTGATTAGGTTTCGAATTGTGTTCACATTATTATTACTCTTATTACTATCCTTATCTCCTCTTACCCCATTTCCAGTCTAGTTGACCTTTTATTTTTATACATAAATGCTCTTAACAAGTATATGTGTGATCAGATTGTTCGAACTGTATGGTGCTAATATATCACATAGTTCTGATAATTTCCGTCTCCTTATCACATTATTGAAATTTATCAAAGGGACTAATTGCTTTAAATATCAAAGCTGGCAATCAGTAGTAATAAGTAACGTAGAATCTGGCAAATGTATGCGTATCGATTCAAGATGTCACAGCTAGACATAAGGACATCGGGGCTAAATTTCAAATATCAATGGTGGAGTAGTATAAGCAGTAATATGCATAGGCACTATGAATTCGGGGAGATAAAATTAATTCGTTGAATAAAATTTTAAGATTGAAATATTCAAGGAAAACGAAGAGCGAATGCAAGTGGATTGTTATGACTAATTTAGAGCTGTGTCATACAATGTCTCCAACTATTAATTATGGAAATCATGAAGACCTCAACTAGGTTGTCTATGCATACCACTTCTGACTATTTCGAAAGTCAATGACTTCATGGACTAATTTCACGTTCTTGTTTGACATCCGTTAGTTTTCTTTCCAATCACCTGTCACACAGACTAACATCACCCATTAAGCTACTCTGAGGTTTGGGTATATGCGAAAAGTCCTATCTATTTTAATCGGTGAAAATATACAAATCCATCAATCGATCCGCTATCCCTACCTAGTGCTTAGTTGAAAACAGTTAACATAAAACGGTAAAACAAAACAATAAAACCACCGATATCAATACAACATTTGCACTTTACAATTGTGAATCAAAATAAAAACATTTAGACCAACGTATTTTTGTAAAAATGAAAAGCAGTGGAAAAAAGTAAGTTTATTACGGTTGAAATGATAAATAAACGATAATGAAAAGCAGTTTACCGATAGTAATGGATCCTAAATATTAAGTATTACTACAATAAGACACTGGTATAACATGATATCAAATGCTGTGTACCATTAATTAATCCCAGTAACGAAGGAACCATTTTGATATCTTATGGACTACTTACTTATCATACAAGAACTAACAATAGAGTACAAAGATACGAAATTACAACAACAAAAAAACGTTCAGAATTAGAATTGGTTCATAATAAGTAATTCTATAGACAAAGGGGCACTGTGTGTCAAATCACACAATCAAATGACTATACGAAAGAAAATATAATCACTGTTGACATTTAACAGAATAGTTCATAAAGATTTATAATTACCATTACTATTATTACATCACATTAAAAGAAAAAGATGAAAAATAATAATTAAAATAGTAAGGAATGAAATGTAATTGAATCAGTGAACTAAATTTATCCTCAGCATTATAACTGAATTACATATATAAGCATTTTAATTCAAGGAATAACACAACACATAGATGTTGGTACAAAGGGGCACCGAATACATATGTGTCACACAAGTCACTTGATTTGTGTGTGGGCTATGATATTACACGGGTGCCCAGACCGAATTGGTTTTCTTAGGAAGCTATAACCCAGGTTGATATGATCTACAATCATATAATTTTTAAAAGCAAACATGCGTTATATTTGAAATTCTCTGATATGTTTATTTGACAGTGGAATTAGGCTGTTAAACTTTCAATTATATAATTTCTGAACAAACCAATGAGATTTTTCAGGTAGAAAGTTTTGGTTTTTGGGCGAAATTTATTCAATCATATAGTCTAGTAGCATTTTGGCACTATAGCTGATGTCAGTTCGTAATGAAAACCTTAATTCTAATACATAACCCTAACTTCTAATACTAAATCCTAATGCAGATTTCTAACACTAATTTACCATTCTTTTTTTAACCTAAGTAAATAAGTGAATTTTATCAAGGTCACTTTAGGGTCATTTAAAAGTCGTCCATACATTATAGTCTCAACGGCTCTGAAATAAAAATCGACATTATAATTCTTTCTTATTACAACCCAGTTAATCCTATTGCTTAGTATACTTGGACACCAATTCACTCGACAAGTCCCCAAATCAGAACATGATTGAGCAGGAAAGAGATTATATTCCAAATAACAAGGCTAGATGGAAGTAAGAAGCACAGTAGGAAAAATGTTAGTATATTTATAGTTTTTACATGAGAAGATTCTAAAGCGTTCTGAAGTATCGACTAGTGCTGATTGGATAAGAATTAGCCAATCAGCGTGCACCAACGCAATCGTGCATTGAGTATACCTTAATCTAATCTACGTCCCGCTAACACTCGATTTCTCCTTTACACTAACTAATTGGATGCTAATTTGCTTAGGATGAACACAAACTAAATATCTATCAGACTATCTCCATAAATGTCTGAAGAAAACAACTAACCGCGAATAATAAACATATATTTTGTGTTATATAACCCAATGATTAGAAAAGAATGCATTTCTGACGTTTCGTGACTTAATGTAGGTCACGTCTTCAGAGTAAATAATATATTTATTATTAAATTTCTACCAAATGCTAAATTTATTTGAAACTATTAAGTCCAACCTTGGTATTGATAACTAATCACTAACTTAGTTCCACCCACGACGCAACAAGCCCAATGAGCAAATGAAAGAATGAGAGGGACCGGAAAACGTATTTAATCATTTCTTCAATGATACAAACAAGTGATTGAATTTTTTATAAACATTAAATTTTAAACTTTTAAATCCAAGGTGTACAACTTGAATAATTAGAAATTTCTCCACTAAGATGTATATATTCACAAAACAAAGTGACAATTAGTACAATTAATATGATGGTCTATAATCAAAATAAAGTGATTCAGCAATCAACATATGATCACATTAATACACAATGATATAACCATGAATGAAAACTATAAATTTCTTGACTTAGCAACCAATTAATGAATTATAATCTTACCTTACAAATAGTTCCATGTTATAATGACTAAAACAACTTGCTTTTATAATCATCACATATTGATAATACTTCACAGTTGGTGTATCGATAAGAGGACATTACACATTTTATTCAATGTCAGTAATGTTCAGTTGGTTTTAGTTACATTACGAATTACTAATCAATATTTGAAATTCACGAAAAGAATTATGCTATTACATGGTCTATGTAATTTTATTCAGTAGTTTGTCTCGATGTCTAATTTATGAATTGAAATCATTCAACTATTTTCCTGTTGTAAATTTACGTTACCTAATATATATGTATTACTACTAAATGATATTTTTTTCCACAGTTACAGGTCAGATGTTGCACCAGAATAAACAATTATCATATTTTTTTTCAATTAAGTTGGTGTTGTTCTGTAATCTATTCAATATAAATCTATTAATCCAATCAGCCATAGGTCATATGATGAGAAGAAAACACACTGTTAGGAAGTGTTAAGGTCATATAGTTGCATGCAAACAGCCTAACTATATACTTTAGATAAAACAATCACCTAATAAAAGCCAATTAGAAAGTGATGTTTGAAAACAGAATAGATCTTAATAAAAAAAACTCACTTTAAATCGTCGAGGAAGTGAACGAATTAATTTCACTTTAATAGCCAATCCAATTAATGTAGCCATACTGCAACCAGGAATTGTTGGTGAATATTCAACACAAACCCAACTTTCGGCATCATTCACATTAATCCAATCATCAGTTAATACACTTAACACTTCAAGACTATGAGGATGTTCAGGATCTCGAATATCACGAATATGATCTTAATACATAATTTAAGATTAATAATATAAAATATAGTACAACAAGTATTGAGATAGTATGGATTTATTTGATTATTTATTTTCGTTTTTAGCAAACCATATTATGGAACTCATACGGAAGTTGATAAAATATCATTTAATAAAATAACGAAGTAGTATTATAAACCTAGTTATGATCACCTAACAGTTAATTTAACAATAGATGGTCACTTGCGAGTGTAGAAATGAAAGATAAAACTAAGCGCTTTAATTGATAAAGAAAATTGAAAAGTACTACATGATATTAGTCGGGGTACTGATGAAAATCAGGGAGCACTGAGCAACTGTCTCATTCCAGTAAGAAGTATTGACTAGTGGGGTTTCGACATGCTTGGCATGAAACAGTTAGCGCCAATGGAACTGAATGCTTATCGTTTTATGTATCAAAATGCTTGAAGCTGAAATTGTAGTAGACTGAGAAAAGCTAGACATAAGACATATTTGTGCTTACATACTTTTTAAAAGTCAAGAATTAGGTGAGAGATGATAAATGAGGTAGGTTATTGAACAAAGTTGATTATGTAGTTTGTGAAAGTCTTAGCTCATGTCTCTGAGGGTTATATATACCAATGACTTGTGCACATGATCACTCGGTCAGTCAGTCAGCTGCAACGTAGGACCAGGCACATATATGCATCGGTCCAAGTTGCCACATCTCATTAGCACAGCAAGATGAACACCAACTTTATAGAAGTAGTTACTTCAATGGTAGTAATATATAAAAGAGATAGTGTATTAGGATATAATACAGGAAGAAAGAATTAGTTCGTATAAATAAAGGTATAAAGCAATCTTAATCTAACGGTATAAGGGAAGACAAAGAGTCGAAATGGGCTAATTTCCTCTATATCTGACTCCCGTTAACTGAGTATTTAAGGTAGGCTGAATCTCCTAGTAGAATTATGGATTCACTCGAGATTATTCAGAAGCTTGAACAACAGTTGTAGAGATATTTTTATTGTTAAAGATAAATAACATCCGCAAGCGTACAGTGAGCCAGCACACTGTGAAACCACGAGTGTGTGTGTTAAAAATCCATATATATTTTTGAGTGTCAATCAAGTGTGGATGAATTATTGATTATGTGAATGTTACAACCAATAGGAGAACAGAATGAGGTTGATGTGCAGACACGCGCTCAATGATAAAAGCACAGAAATTAACATAGTGAATTAAGTGTCTGAATTACAGTGAGTAGACAAATAATACAATAGTCGAATGGGCTTGCTAAAGACAGACCTATGCCATTGTGATCGATTCTGAGCCACATCACCCATAGTCTCCAACTATTGGTTACGATAGTCACACGGACTCCAACCAAGTAGTCTCCATCTACCAACATTGGCTTAGACCAGAAGTTGGTGACTTCAAGGACTGATGCCGCGCTTTGGTTTGGCCGCCCATAACTTCCTTCCAACTATACCCCGCATTAGGGAGCATTGCACATCGTGGTAATCGGTGTTTATGCATATGTAACACACGGCCCAACAGTCTCAGTTCATGAAGATTTACACTCACTGGTCAATTACAGCCTCCTAGTTATTATTATGATTCTCGCTTGCATGGACTCGAGTATAGTAAACGTGTATATCTGTACAAGATCGGACGGTAGACTCGAAAATCTGTACCAAAACAGCGGTTCGAATGGTTAAGTGTGAGATATGACGGTCATGGGTTCGATCCCTGATCATCAGTTACAGGTGCACACCACTGAGGAGTTCCATACGAAGATGAAAGTTGCACAGTGTCCTCTTGTTTTTAGTGGCACCTCACCTGAGATTGCTCTACGGTAAATACAACCTATGTCGTTAAAAGCAAGAATTAATATTTCATCCATACTCAAGAATAAAAACTTTAGGGAAATGGTAAGAATCAAAATGAAATAAAACTCACCAAATATTTCTGCCTTATCAATAAGTTGACGCTGACCATCCCACTCAAAGTTATTAATATTTAAGCCTAGTCTATTTAGCCGAGGCTTTACAGGTACATGTAACACTGGATTTAGATTTTCTAGCATAGAGAAGAGAATTTCTAAATGTTCACAAAAAAATAATAAAGAAACTCGATCTTCAAATGATTAACGGTAATAATAATTACAATTGAATTGTGATTAAAGAGAAAATAGAATGTGGACGTTATTTCCACTACAAACTAACGAGTTGGAATCGCAAGAAAAGCCGAACAGCATTGAAAAATTGCCACATTATTATTCATGACTCCCTCCCTTTTATCAGCGTACACATACAAGGGATAAAACCGAAGATCCATTTGCCTCGATCTTTATTCCATGTGACACTCATCTCACATTACTAATGAGTGACTTACGATTGATTTAGCTGTTGGGAAATGAGACAAACTGCTTCTTCATTGTACTGTTAATGTAGATACTATCAGGTATCCCTTGGTACCAGCCGTAAATGAATTCTTTCGCCACACAACATATACACACACATGGATGGATATACCACATGACTTAGGAGAGATGAAGAGAGTACTATTTAAATGGTAAATTTCTCCGAAATAATATCTCAACACATTCATTTACAAATTATTTTCGGATTAATTATTACTTGAAGGCAAATAACTAAAACGAACGTTTTATTGAACAAGTATTCTTCTGAATTATTCTATAATCTCACATCTTATTCCTTTATTTCCACAATTCATAGCTCAGCATTATCATGAAACTAGTTACTAGTAATTAAACGGTTTTACAAGAATTATGTACAACAGAAGTGACAGGATAGATTGATATTAAATGGATAACTTGTAAAAAGTCATGAATCGTTAGGTGATAGTAGTGAAATAACTCTGATGGGCGGCCTGCTTGAGCATCTGGGCTACCTGTTCCTGCCATCTAGATATTTCAACAAGTTATCTATTGTTGTTTGTTTTAATATATCATTATGTTTATTAATCGCATAACCTATTCTGCTGCGTTTCTGAAAAGTGTACAACCTTTCGTTGTCAAAGTTACAGAAAACTCAATAAGAGACAATATGGTTGCTGGCAATGAACAACGAAAAGAATGTACATTATTCAGTTGTTCATTCACTGAAGTGCTAACATCTAACTGGCGATTCCTCAATATTTATCGCCAGGACCGACCAAGAAGAAAGAAACGGAAACTTGTTGAAATACTTTGCGCTGAGAATTCTATATTGTACCAAAATTATAATATTGAATAAAGCTAATAATAATAATAATAATAATAATAATAATAATAATAATAATAATAATAATAATAATAAAATGAAACATTACGAACTGAATTAAGTTAACAATGTAAAACAATGAATATCAACTCAGTGGCTCAAGTGCTCATCATGAGACATGGAAGTCTTGGGTCCGAAACCTGGTGAGATTTTAGATGTATACTGTAGAGCAGCCCTATGTTAGAACAGAACTGGAAAACCAATGCTACTTGGTTTCCAGCGACTACTTAACGAAAGTCAATCCACCGCGATGTGGAATTCCGAAAAAAATTAAGTTGATTCTTCTGAAGGATCCCTACAAAACCTTTTTAAAATAAATTACATTATTACTTAATTATTGATAATGAAGTTCAGTAGATTTGTAAGTTGTTGCTTATTGAATTCACATTCTTGATAGTATTAGAGACTAGTAGTGAAGTACCTTACTTCAGTGTAAAAAACTTATCAATAATCTTAACGTAATAGTCAACATATTTATTTATTTGAACTCATTAATATTGGTTCAAAGGGGAACCGAATATATAAGAGCCATACAAGTCACTTGATTTGCGTGTTGGCTATGATACTGCTTGGGTGCCCGAACCGAATCAAGTAGTTTCCTTAGAGGGCCACACTCAGAGCCTCCGACCTAAAGGTCTGATCCACAAGGCAGTGGAGCAACGTCAGGAAATGTAGTCCCATGGTAACCGATAACCAACAATAGGTTCGTACGCCATTTGTTTCCAGAGGATTCTGGAGCCCATGTGCACCACTGGTTTGGAATCACGGTTGTCCAACTTCCCCAGGTGGATCCTCTATATCCACTAACCAGGTTGAAGCCGTGAGAAGGCAGTGAGTAGGATGTCCCTGGCAGTGGCTATATACACGTGGCCATGTGAGAGCATTTCGAGAAGGAGAGCGGACTCTCCCCAACTTCGGCCGTATCAGGGCATTTGTATAAATAACTGACTCGATCACTTTTACAATCTCGAAATAAAAACACAATTAGAAATTCAACGTTGCAATAGGTTTAATGTAATGTTTTTGTGGGATTTGTTCACAAACTAATTATGAAAATAATAACAAACTGTAAAGAATTTTGACGATACAAGTTGTAAATAAAATGTCTAAAAAGTTTTAGAAAACAAGAGATTTGACAAAACCGTAAGTTCTCAGGTTTATCATTCATTTTATCTACTTGGATAGTTGAATTAATCTTAATATGTCAACAGTCAATAAAAGCTTTTAGCAAGTATTCGAAAGTTTAAAATACGGTGTATCGTTAACAAGAACGCTGGAATAACAAAAATAGGCGAATAATGTTGTTTTTAGTAAGATCATCATAAGGCATTACTGTAATATAAATGAATATTTATACAGGTATGTGGAAATATTAAATCAATCAAGGTAGCTTATGAGTCGGTGATCCCAATGAAATAGATTATGTAACCACACATAATAAGTAAAAAGTACAAATTGATAGCGAGAAAACCGGTGGACTACTTACTATCACTTTGTACTGTTTACCTATTATATATGGTTACGTAATTCGCGCATCATAGGTCAGATGCTTTAGTGTTATGCTTTTTAAAGATACTTTACGGTTAATCCTACTGAAACTGGTGAAGTAACGTTTGAATTTGTGATCTTCACAAAGGTGAACAAATGATTTAATCAACGAACTTATCATTATTTTTTTTACATACTATGGTCATGATAAACTTATGCGTATCGTTTCCATTTCAGTTTACAGAAATCACCAACTAGAGGATTTTATAGTTTACACAAATTAAATCACGGAAATTCAGTAAAACAACAAAACAAAGATGTTGGGCTCTTCACTGCTTACATAACGGCTGAGATTACACAAAAAACGCGTCTATTTCTGGTAAATGAAATACAGCATCTGAATTACAGAGTATTTCCGAAAATTTATGACTGTTGGAAAACATCTCAATTTATAGTTATATTTGTAGGTAACATCACCAAGGTTTGATTTGATAATTTTGAATAAATTGAGCATTGGGTCATGTCATTTCTGTCAAGGTGATTCATAAGTGATATCTATGTAAATTTGTGTGTACTGTTTAAGGATGAAAAATTGTGTGACATTTAAAGTGAGAAAGGACAGAGTTTAATTTGTGAGATGACAGTGTGAATTATAAATAAGATCAGACTGAATGGCTAGGATAGATAGTCCAAGTAGGATGTATGGTAAGGCCTTCTTTTGTGTTGAGAGAAGTAGGATTAAGCATTATATGGAACGCTTCAGCTACTCTCCTTTCTTTGTAATTGGAAAAGCCCTTTTGCAATATTTTGATATTTTTGAAATCAATTTGGTGGTCTTTGAAAATGGCATGAGCTGCTAGTGCCGATTTATTTTGAAGTTTATCCAATTCTAAGAAATTGTTAAGAGGCTTCTTTGTGTACCTAATATGTTCTTTGGCTCTAGTCAAGATTTCGCGGGATGACTCTCCAATAGAGAAGGCATCAAAATCGATACAACCTAATTTGTAGACGCAGTTCTGTGTGGACATGGAAGGGATTTTTTCTTTCAAGCGAACTAAAGTATTTCAGAGTGTTTTCGTTGTTTTGTAATATACTTTAATTATGTGTTGTTTTAAGACTCTTTGAAGCTTTTCTGTTGTGCCATGACGATATTGCAGAACTGCAGTACCAATCCATGGCATTTCATTCGAATTATTATTATAACGCACTAAACCGTCTTGTTTCAATATATACTTCTGATAATCTTCATAGGAAAATTATTAAGTTTTAAGATACTAATTACATTCTTTCGTTCTTTTTGTTTGTCTTCTTCTGATGTGATCTTGTTAGCTCTTCTAAAAAGATTTAAGGCTAGCGAGATCTTAGCACTGAAAGGATGTGCTGAATGGAAGTCAGTATAGCGACTAGAGTGTGTGGGCTTTCGGTAGATGGATAGATTTAGAATTCCATTTAGATTTCTTTTCACTGAGCAGTCTACGAATGGTAGCTCACCATGTTCATTTTCATTCGTGAATTTGATGTGAGATGAAAGTGCATTTATCTCTTTTGAAAAAGATTTTAGATGAGTCTTTTTTATCACAACAAATGTATCATCTACATATCTAAGCCAAATTCGTAGTATAATGTCGTGGGCGAAGATATTTGATTCTATGTGTGCCATAAAAAGGCTGGCTACGATCGGGGACACGGGGGATCCCATTGCTACACCGTTAGTTTGTTTGTATAACATCCCGTTAAAAGTGAATAGAGTCGGATATAAGCAGAGTTTTAAGGATTTCATGATTAAACTGATGCTCAAAGGACATCTGTCAGAAAGAGTATTGTCGTTCTCTAGTAAGGCACTAGTGAATTCTAAGCATTTATCAATGGGAATACTGGTGTATAAAGAAACGACATCAAAGCTTACCATGATCTCATTCTTCTTGATAATTTTGATTTAAAGTAATATGTATCTTAAATCATATTATGTAAGTTAAGCTGCAGTGGTTTTAATATTTTGCTTAGATATTTCGATAACGCATGTGTTGGTAAAGTCTAATATCGGTCTTAGAGGGAAATCTGGTTTATGAATTTTTGATAAACCATAAAACCGTGAAAAATTACATGATTTGGGATGCAGAGCAAACCAAAGCGAGACACCAATGACTGGTTTTAGCTATTTCAAAAGTTGACTTGTTTCTGATTTGACTGTACTTTTAATCGTTTGAGAATTTTTCCTGATTGATCTTTTCGTATGGTCCTGTTGAGAGATGTTCAGTAGCTTTATTCATGACTACTATTGAGTTGCCTTTGTTGGCTTGTGATGATAATCGTTTCGTCTTTTTGAAGCGAATTCAGAGCCTTTAATTCTTCTTTTGAAATGTTTGGTGCAATGTGTCTTCGACGTAATAAATGCGACTCTTTTTCCGGTAGTTGTGCGATTCTTGGTTCTATAATTGGAGCAATTTCAACAGTACTAAGTGGTTTTCTATGTAAAGTGAAATTTAATCCTTTCTCCAGTAGAGTGATTTCATGGCTGGTTAAGCTTCTGTCCGAGAGATTATGAACAATTCTTCTTAGATCATTCGAATTAGATTTTAATGCTGATGTTTTCTTACCATAAATGTCACACAATTTTTCATCCTTAAACAGTACACACATACATACACACAAATTTACATACATATCACTTATGAATCACCTTGACAGGAATGACATGACATCTACTTGTTCAGACCCATTTTTGATTGATCACATATTATTCTAATTGTTCCGTTGTATTATTTAAACTTGGATTAATTTTAATTTGGTAATTTATTTTCTGAAGAATTGACTTACACTAAGTCACGAAACCTAATTTTTCTACTCATTGGGATATTACAAACTTATTATTTATTTATATACTTATATTTGTTCATCTTACTATACTAGACACTTATTTTTCTTAAAAACTGAGCGAGAGGAGTAATAACCGCATAAAATCACCTCTAATTATGTTAGTACAAAATGAAAATATTATGATTTGCATACATACTACTATTAATAAGCAAACAGTCCAGTGAGAATAGTAGAAAAAAACCAAACACAACAGCTTTGTCCAAGTGATCAACTTTATTAAACAATAAACGATACAGAGTAGACACTTAACAGAATGTAGCATGCATGCATGATGAAGCTAAGATCTGAGTTGAGCTGCATCATTTGGTTCTTGAACATTTGCTTCATGTATACGTCGTTCCAATGTATCCAATGTCTTGTTCATCTAAAAACAAAAACAACAGAAAACAGAAGGATGTAATTTTGGCAATTATCGAATCTGAAGTCAGTTATTCTGATTGCTATTAGAGTTATAAGAATGGATATCAGCTCCTGGTTCCCTATGGCGTGGGATGATATATTGTTTCGAGGCACATGGGAAGATACTTGGGTAGGGGGTGATCTTGATGACTTGAGAGCGTGATGGCAGGGCTCAAGGGAGGAATGCACGAGGTGAGTCAAATATGGCTCTTTTGAAAGTGGTTTTAGATGTTATCATCTTATTTTTAATACATGTCCATCAGAGACGGAAATATGTGATGTGTACGATATTTAGGTTCGACAATTTCTGACCTCGTCCTTTCGTTATGAGAAGGCAGCACCACTCCAGATGTTGGTTATCCGAATGAAACATTCTGCTACTGTACAGTCAGAAGCAAAACTTTGACCTCAGGCAATGAGTTTGAAGCTTTTAGGATGTTTTTTATTGAACTTGGATGATATGGTAGGTATTAACACTAAACCAGAGCCACGAACGGGCTAGGACTGAAAAGTGGTCATAATGACTTGAATTCTATAAACCATAGTCCTGATTCCTAAACTACTTTTAGGCATAAAAATATAAATACTATTTACATTCACTTGGTGTTGTTTGCTTGTATCTTCCCATTGTTATTTAGGACTGCAATTGATCAGTCTCTTATTGGCATATGTGCATCCTGCACGGATTGCCTTGATATTTCCTCAAGTCGCAAGTTTTATAAGCAAAGATGGATAGTGGCTAGCAGTGGAATTCACCCCATTGCACAAGAAGGTGGCTATCAGAACTTGATAGCTAAGTGGATAACGCGATGGCGTTTGAAGCGAACGGTACTGGGTTCGAGTTCCACAGTGAACATTAACTCTGATATGCAGGTATATCCACATCTCAGTGTTGATGATGTCCGCATTGGAACTTAAGCTCCAGTATCAACACGTTACCAACGAGCGTTCTCGGTTTCACTGCTAGCCATAATCTATCTATTCTATAAAAAAACTTGTGGCGAGATGGTTACATCAAGGTAATTCACCTAGTATGCAAATATATTAATTAAAACTAGTCAAACTTAATCCTGAACAATGAAAGTGGGATGGTTTAAAACTTGCTAACAGAAAATAGGACGATTACAAAAAAGACAAAAATATCTAAAATAATCTCACCTGTTGTAATTGTTCAATATGAAGAATGAAATATTCTGAAAATCTTCTATCAACAGTTGTATCAGCGACATAAATTGTATCATTATCAACATAAAAATCCAAATGTGGATGCATTTGCTGAGAACTGTTCAAATCAGAATTGATCGATGTACCAAAACCGTTACCATCTTTTGCAGCGTCAATAGCTTGACTCATAGTTTGTTTTAACCGATACTTGTAAGCCATTAATTCCATATGTAAAGATGGTTCAGACTATTGTTTGAATAGAAACGTTGAGCAGTAAAAAAATAATAACAATGATACGAATGAAGCATAAATGTAGAAAACACAATGAAATGAACTGTGTACAAAAAGATATGAAGTAGTAAGTCAGTTTATGACATTAGTCCCGTGGTATCCAGGAAATTTGAATATGATTGGCATTTGTTAGTTGATCATGGCTTCCTGGGGCGATCAAACCAAGACATGCTAATCTATGAAGTCAGTGACTGTTGAACTGACTAGTGTAGGTAGGTTCAGACTTTCTGGTTAAAGTCCGAATGATTATCATAACTAATAGTTATAGACTTTTAGGTACACAACTCAAAACAGTTTGCAATAGCTCTAGTGTACTTATTCAGTGTCTTTCCTTATATTATAAGGTTTTAAGTCATCTCAACCACTGAACAAATTCATATTTTCTTCTCAAATCGTAGCTTTTGTGCCTAATCTCTTATACTATTAATCATAGTTACCCCTTATGCTACTGCCTTATTTCTCTGCTGATAGGTGACAACTTGAAACAGCGCACATATGATTGACTAACTTCTTGGTTGAGGTTCTACAGATGATGTAACTAAGAGGCTTGAGATGTTATCAAACATTACTTAAGGCAGAAACCAGTACTGATCTTGACGTAGTTTTCTGTCACATTCTTCATAAAAGTGAGAAGGATCCTCTTAAACGAGTTTTTTTTGGTTATATTTCTCACAAAAATATATCTTAAATGATATGCTATATTTTTATTTACTTATTCTTGATAGTAGATTGTACTTTTTGTCTCACTATCCTCTATATATTCACAATATTGCGGCTTAATTTGTGTGGCGTATACCTTTTTTGGTTCACAACTGTACCAGAATGTTTGTGTAAAACACAACAAAGCACTTACATACACAAATAAAAAGAAGAATAGGCATAAATTGTGATCATAATAGTTTGAAATGAATAGATTGGTCAAAAACATTTCGTCTTGAATATCAAAAAATGTAATAATTCATACTACTAATAAATAATAATACCACGTAAATAACCATTTGAATATACTTGATTTTAGTGACTATTTAAAGTGAAAGGTACTAGGGGTTCGAGTTCCAATGTGAACATCAACACTGACATGCATATACATTTAGCTGACAAATAGTTGAAAATAGGATGAAATGTATGTTCTGAATTTTATTATTAGCTATGATTAACCAATTCTATAGAATTTTGTAGACAATATTAAATGTGACGTAATTACAATATGATCAACTTTAAGTGGTAATTATTAACTAGAATTTGACAACAATTCAGGTTGTAAAATTCAACATGGAGATTCAAACTTGCAGCCATGTAGCTGAATGTTGAATACAACAACTATGCCTTTGAGACATATAACGAAAATAGCAAACTCAAACTAAAAAAGACCATTCCTATAATAGGGGTAGTATGAACTGAAAATGAGTCATTAAGGCGTTTCTTGTTCATCAGAGCTATTATTTATTGGTAAAAGTAGAAAAGCAAACAGAAATTCAAGAATCTATAGCAGTAACAAAAAAGATTTCGACAGAATCTATGTTCAAGACTATAGTAATTATCAGAACATTTAAAAAAAGATTTTTAAATGTTGTGCAATTTGTTGATACTCTACTTTAGTTTCTTTCGATATATTGATCATCACATGCATAACTGATAATTGTCTGAGTAGATATGCTTTTTCGACTAATTTTTGACCTATTTTGACTAAAGATTTGCTGAGACTGTTTACGACAGTATAGGGGTCTAATGAGAAATATCATCTGTAAGCACACGGAATCCTACAACAGACAGCGGATAAGTTTCACAATCTGAAAATTATACATAAAAGACTCACTAAACTCATGAAATTAGCCAATTTCGATGCAGAAATATTTGTATAAAGCTTAAGATATGAACGAAGACGTAATAGTTCAATTTGTTGAATAATTTCTGTTTTGAATAAGTCAGTTTGTTGACGTTGTGGTTCCAAAGGAGAAATTGAATCACTTATTGGTAAAGCTTTGGCGTAATACGGAGTTTCTGGTGAGATAAATTTTGGGCAGCCAAGATCAAATGAACTAGCGAATTCGGCTTCATCTCTACAAAATAACAACAGTAATTAATACGAAAGCTAGGCAGTGGAAGCCAGGATGCGCGTTATATACTGTTTAGAACATTTCAGTTGTATGTAACTGCATTCAAGTGTTGATGCCTAAACCGAGACTTGAACCAAGAACTATTCGCTTCAAACAGCAACACGTTACCCACTAAACTAATGAGTTCAGAAGGCTATGAACAGTAGTAATTAAAAATACCATTAGAATGCAGCGATATTATAATGGAATTATTTATAAGGAACGATATGATATCATGACTTCGGAAATATACAGTGTGCTATTTGGTTATACTTTGGAATTGACATAAATCAGAACGGGGATTTGTGGAGATTGCAATAATTTTAATGGTTGAATTGGTGAGTCGATCTAAACTAGACCACCATTGAAAACCTGGAAGTACTGGACGGCCGTCCTGTTCTAGTATGGCACTTCTTAGTAGTGCATATCCACGATCCTGCACGTGGGGCCCAAACCCAGGACCGTCGGTCTTGCGCGCGAACGCTTGATTTCCAGACCACTGAGCCGGCATCCAACGGTGTTAATGTCTAACTTCAATCGATCCATAATCCCGCACGATCCTTCATCCATAGTCTGAAGTGGGTAACTATTTCCACCCGACACGGATTGAAATCCAGTAAATTAGAGACAACAAAATAGTGAACTGCAACGATTGAAACATTTGCTGTTAGTACCAAACAGTAGAATAACAGATGGAAATTTCAACACAATTTAAAACTTAATAATTAGGTGAATCTAAATTTTAGCGTAAAATCTAAAAACTAAGAATTAAACCTAACATACATCGCTTTAACAACAGGAAAGTACTAATCTTCACAAATAACATTTTGTTCTGCACAATTTAATTGTAAAACAAAATTTTTTCTTGATTTTTGAACACACTACTTCTATATCCCGTACAATGAAGTGGTAGCTTAGTAATTAAGGCGTTCGACCTCTAGCCTCGAACCCCGCTTTACCTAATTTGGTTTGAGCAACCAGATAGTATTATTAGACTTATTCTCAAGTACCTAGTGAATGAGTTAATATATATCTTACAGCCACAAGATAAACGAAGGCAACGATAGACTACGTACTAAAATATTAATTGGAGATAACTATGTAGTTGAAGATGGTATTGTCGGCGATGTTATCTACTGCATTTCAAATCCAGTCATCCAAAATTGACATAAAACCCACAACATATGTAAATCAGTTCGAGTTGATATTACATATTATTATTATTATTATTACTATCACATTAGTATGAGATTATTAAGATGAATATCAAAGTAGTTGGTAAAATAACAGTGATACTATTGATGGCAAACAAGATTAAGCATGGGAATATGATTCGAGAAAGATTACATTAACAATAAGAGGTATTTGGATATTTTAAGACTTATGATCTAAGGGAAGACAAAGAGGGAATGAATCTGCACTATTGTAACCGATTCTGAAACTTGTCATTCAACATCTCTAATCAATTGATTACGATAACCACATAGACCTCAACCAGATACTCTGAATCTACTAACATGGCTCAGTTTATTTTTTGGGTATTTGTAACGCTAAACTGGGGGAGTTCAACCTTAAAATAGTGTCTACCGTAAATAAGACAGAATAGTTACTAAATACATTGCATTACTGCAGTACAATGCCACATAAAATAGGTATAGAACATAATATTTCAAAGACATTAATTTAAAACTTGTCAAACATTTCATCTTCAAAAATTATAAAAAGTAACTACATTATTCATTTGATAATTTTAGAAGCATGGAAAAATGTGTCGCTAAGACACCGTTAACAGTAAGGATAATTTTTGAATAATAGATCTACCGGTAAATTCAAAAATAATTAGTCAAGTAGATAATCACAAAGTATATGTGAATTACCATAGTTGACGTTGTATCGTGACTACAGGTACTAAGTTGATCGTACTACTGATTCGCTCCCGTTAATCTATCGGCCATGAGGTAAGCATTTCTCAGTGCCAATAAGCTGTGCAATTATTTTTGCGAAAGTGAGATGATGAAAATTGAATATCCAGTGAGTAACCTGAGTTGATAGATACGGAGAGCACTTACAGGAATTTGGAAACAATGACTCCAAACAAATAGAGTAAATAGGTCTCAGGAATAGAGTATGAACTTGATTAGATCGTCGGATACCATGGGTAAACATATCCTGACGTCACTCAACTGCCTTGTGGATTAGATCTGTAGGTCAAAGGTCTGAAGAATCGCTCCCTAAAAAGTTATCCACTTTGATTTGGACCCATGGGCAATATCCCAGCCAAAATACAAATGTTATGATTACTGGTAAGTGTGATAAAAACCGCGCAATAGGCCAATGGTCAGTTTGCAAAATTTAGCTAAGCTAATGCGATATAAGTCGAAGTATATATATATATATATATATATATATATATATATATATATATATATATATATATATATATATATATATGCGCTACTCAAATACACAAAAATACTTACAACTGTTGCAATCGATTAAGCGTCTCCGTGAATTTCTCTCGTTTATCCAAATCAATATTGTAATCAACCGAAGTGGGAATCATAGTTACACAGATAGCTAACAAAGACATCATTTGATCCGCCTGTTTATTAACATATTCTTTTAGATCAGCACGTTGAGATATAAGACCTATTGCACGTGATTTATATGACAATGTGGCTAATAATGTAGATACAGCATTATGATACGAGCGCATCATCATATAAGAAAATCCAACATAATAACCAGTTGTAATATGACAAGTAGGTACTTCATGATACATTTCCTAACAATATGATAATGGATACACATATTTACAGTAAGTGAGATGAGCAAAACGCAAACAAGCAAGCATGTTAGTATTAGGTAAGTAAAGAAAACATACATAATTTCATACATGTAACGTAAGCTATCAACTCGACCCGGAGCACCTGTCTAGGATTACTGTTGGTTCCAGGAGCCGGGAATTGGAAGTAAACATTAAAGCCGTGAAAGACACTTGTCGACAGACAGAAAGGAGAGTCTAGGACAGAGTTGGTTGGAGATCCCTGATCGGAAGCATGTTTCAAGAGGGATAACAGGTTTAAGTAAGGTGGGTAATTCCAGATTTCAAGTAATATATGTTTGAGTGGTCTATAAATAACAAGCAATAACCAAGTTATATATATACACGGAAATGTATGGACTAAAGAGTTTAGTGACTTGCTTCAAACTTTTGTTAAATTCTAGTCTTCCCTGCAAACTAAATCAATGTTACATCTATGGTGTACAAATAAATGTGCAGTCGACTCAAATGAGACAATGGTAAACTTGAGAAAAGGTTGATATCATCAAATTCGTGTGATACTTTTGATTTGAGAGCTACTTAACACTAACCGGGGGCAGGGTTCAAATATGCGATCTGATGATATAAAGCTAAATGCCTTGGCCATTAAACGTAACTGCAAATAAAGAATTATTACATCGAACAAGTGAGTTTAGTGATGTCAAAATAATTGACGACAAGAGTTTGAATAAGCACAAATAACTATTAGAAGCCGCAAAATTTGAGTTAATAGATGATAAAAATTGACAAAGTGATAGAGATCAAAAGTGCTGGTCGATATACAGATAAGTAAGTAGATAATTTTAGTCAAATATCCAAATCACCAAGTACAGTCAACCGGAAGAAATATTCTTAAGGATTAACTGACAAACAATTGTATCTGATGGAGTAGAAAGTTGTAAGATTTGGAAGGATGTGAAAAAGGGTGGAACGATGAGGACTATCCAACGATAGATTATATTTTTTATCGTATGTTTACCGGATATTTAGGCTACAGTAATATTTTTATACTGAAATAATTATAAGTACAGTCACATATCGTTAATTGTTCATAGTTTACAGTTAATTAATAATATACCTATCACTCAGTTTTCTACTACAAATGACTTATTCAGATAAATATTGTAATTTATTACTTACGATGCATTGTGGTCCTGTAATTGATGTAACTAATCATGAGTTTTTGAGTCACACAGTAATACAATGAGTAGAAAAAAGATAAATTTTGAGAATAATTCGGCTGGCTATTTTCGTGTTCTCACTTGCAATTCAGGATAAAAACTAGAGCTGTGTGGACCAATGGGAATCGAGATATGCAGTCGTTATTGGCGGTGATATTGATTTTATAGGGGTAAAGTGGTGGTTGAGAATATTAAGAGTAAGGCAGATATTCTTATTAATGGACTCAAATCAGTAATTCTATTGATGGGTGCAGATAAAGAAGTTGGAATTTATGACAATAGTAATTGAGAAAAAAGAACTTACAAGACGATTGAATTTAATATTTTCCAAAACTTTAATAGCTGTATAATAATCACCTAGTAAACAATGTAATCGACAAAGTCCAATAAGACTGAAGAACCCGAGCATTTTGTAGAGTACGCAACGACCAAAATCATCTGCAATGTCATCCGGGTCGCCTTAAATTTAAAACAAACAACAAAAACAGTGTGCAGAAATGATATATGTTGCTCGGACGCATGACATTAACTTCTTACAATTGAGCCTCAAATAGTAGAGGAAATGCGTGAAGAATGGAAGCTTTACTTTAAGGTTCACCTATGTAAAGAAAATGAGCATCTTTATAGGTTTACAGGTTGCCTTTACCTCTTATAAGCTTGAAGAAACGCCCTGAATTTTATAGTAAAATAAGCAGTTTTTCAATCAAATTGCAACACACAATCCCTAGTTCTTCTAGGTATTTTTTATTTGATACTGATTGGGTGAGATGATTTGACCCCAAATGCCCTGGTACGGCCGAGAGTGGGGAAAGTCCGCTCTCCCTTTCGAAATGCTCTCACATGGCCACGCGTTATAGCCTCTGCCAGGGAAGTCCTACTCACTGCCTTCTCGTGGCAGGGGCGTTATTTACAAAAATGAGAGGACGAAAAGCGAATGTCCGGCGCTTTAACCGGATCCCAAACTGATGGTGCACATGGGCTCCAGTATCCTGCGGGAACAAATGGCGTATGAACCAATCGTTGGTCACCGGCTAACATGGGACTGCATCTCCCTACGATGCTTCACTGCCTTGTGGGTCAGACCTTTAGGTCAAAGGCTCGGGGAGTGGCCCCCTAAGAAAACCACCTGCTTCGGTTTGGGCACCTGGGCAGTATCACAGCCCTCACATATATGGAATAAGATTTGTGTGGTGCATATGTATTTGGTGCCTTCTTGTACCAATATCTATGTGTTATAATAATAAATAATAATAAAATAAAATCGAGAAACTCTTGGGGGCTCTCAACAAGAACGTCATACTTGGCGCAATAGTTTTTCATAGGGTTATAGTACATTTTACGGTTAAGCATCAATGACGTAAGTTGCTTACATGTTATAACGTAGGAATATTATATAATGATAAATAATAAAAACTATATTTTAAACAGAAAGTAGCTAGATAAAATACTGAAAGACAAGACTTTAAAATATAAATATGGCTGAAAAAGATAGAACTAGTTGCATTCTAGATTGACTAATAACCACTAACCAACCCACAGAATTAAGATTTAACTATCAATTAAACTTGACTTCTTGTGCATCATATCTATTCAAATGTCAGAGAAAGGGATTTACAGAGTGACTGGATTGTATTCGACAAATACTTTTCCGCTTCCCAATATTGTATCTTGGTGAAGTCTAAACAATTTAGGCTACTAACATATTTTAGCCTCTGATTACGTAGTATATTTAATGGGATTTAACCACCCATTGATATTTCGCTTAGTTTCAAGAGCCTATTCACTGCAAATAAATACTCGCTTTCAGCAGCGAAATTATGATGATGAAGTCCCTTAGGAATCACAAGAAAAACCCTAAACAATACGAAGTCCACATAAGTTTTACGAAAAAATAAGCGTTTCTGTCTGGTAGAAACGTACAGAAAAACGTAACTAACCTTGCTGAGCATAATAGCTTAGTAGCTCATTGATGTTTGACTTGGCAACTAAAGAGTATAGAACATTCAAAACGCTATGTATGCTCCATATTTTTGGATTCTTTAAAAGTTGAGCTTCATCTTCAGGCTTGAGTTTTAACCGACTGCGGAAACTGCAGAACTTTTGAAACTGGTAAAGAAACTCGTCTATTATATCCCACAACCACTGATTAGGGAGAACCAAATTAACTGGTTGCTCAGCAACTGTAATGAAATATTATATGTATATTCATAAGAACCAAAAATACAAGCTGAGATTCACCAACTACCGAAAACACATTTGTCATATACAGAGAAACAAGAACAGTTACGAGTACAGAAGGGGAATATCAGGCCATACGATCTATGCTGCTTTTTTTACACTCCCAATCGTACAAAATCCTACCTATTGATATCAACCATACAAGTAGTCAATCGGGGTGTTTAGTATAAAAACTGACTATTGGTAGGTTGAATAAAACTTGCGTTGCTAGTATGAAAAAACATTGATAGATCAATATCAACGGAACTCCTCCGGAAAACACATGAGCTAAATGCTATTTCCTTGACATACAAAGTAGAGGGTTTTACTGATTACTACTACTCTGGTATAATGGTTTGGTTTGTCTATTACAATTTACTAATAGGGACAACTCACCCAAAAATCTCATTTTTTCAAGTTCCAGTGTGCAATAAATTTGACTCGAGTCGTTACATACAGGAGACTATTTGCCCATATCAAAGAACTTTCAACTACAGATAGATAAATAATCATTAATACCAAAATAAAACCAATAGGACGAAAACGCTTGATGATTAATTTAATAATCATGGACAGTCAAGAAGTGTGTCACAACACTAGATATCAATGGTTCAAAAAACACAACGATGAAAAGCGTTATCACAATAGCAATACGAGTATTAAAAGGGTATAGTTTAAAGTACTATGGTACTAAAAGAATGACCTACTCTGGACTTAACTGTATTGACTGCTTGTAATTTGTGTCAACAAATTATCGTATATAATGTTTTTCAAATGTTAAGTCGTATACACGCAGGCAAGTATCTAGTGTATTGAGTGTTCACTCTGATATTTAATGGATTTACCCCACTCACTACTAGTGCCGCTCTGTTATATGGAAAACAACCAATATTAGAGGTATATTTAACTGGATAAGGGATACAGTCATTAACTTTATAATGAATCATGAGGTCACTTTATATCTAAACTTCAAATACTGGTGATTTTTAAGTCATTGCTTTTTAACAGAACGCCAACGCAGTAGTTTTGCTTATACGTTTGCTGTGCAACTGTACAAACAGGCTACTTCTCTACCATGAAAAGTATGAAGGCCAATGTGGCACGAGCAAAGTTTATCTAATTCATCGATATAACTATTTCATATGACAGAAGCATCACTTCCTCGATATAATCATGGTGTTAGCTTTCTTTTGGGGAGTGACGGCAGAACACAAATATTTTTCGGAAATTGTAAGCTCTGATGTTGGGTAGGATTAATACGACCTAATGCTAATTAGGGTGAAACTATAATTTTTGGACGACCTTAGAGCGACGCTGAAGTGGTCTTGAGAGAGGACACCTACTGATAAAGAGTAAATGAGGATTATAGAGCAATTGGAGTTCTCATTTACAGTTAATAGTTAGGGCTAAAGACTAGAATTACGGTTTTCATCACGAACTGACGTCAGCTATAATGCCAAAACTCTATTTAGCCGAATGTGTGGACAAATTTCGCGCCGAAATTTGTGACTCGTTATCTTATATCGGATTGGTTCGTCCATAAATCATAGTATCGCCCTAATTAAGTGTTACAGAAGTGTATATCCAACCTAGCATGATTATGTTAAAATGTATTTTAGATAACCCCAAGCCACTTTTGCTCCTGATATATAGGCATATGTACAACGCTATGTTCAGTTGTTGACACCGATCCATAACTAGTAATATTTAGTGCAATTTCAAAGTCTTTAAATTACTGACGGATAAGATCTCACTTACCTAAAAGTGCATTAAATAAACTAGTGTAGTTTAAATATGACTGAATCCTATCTTCAACTGTTAAACCGGTGCTGACGTGAGCGTAAATGTGTCGATAATAGAGTTCGTTATACAGCATGAGAAAAAGTGGATCTGCAAACGTTGAGTAAGACAAAAAACGATATTACCGTCAACAATTTGTTTAATAATATCTACGCTTGGCCATCTGGTAGTCATGAAATACTGCTCCGTTAGTTTGGGAAACCTATATTTTATTTATCAATTAATTGTAACTCACTTAACTTGAGTGTCATTTTCAATCTCCACGACATTTTGGTCTTTAATGTGGATATGTAAATTCACGATGAAAGTTCTAACATCTTCACGCAGTGAAGAATATCCTTCTGAAAACTGTTTGCTCATTTTATGCGTGTTACACCGCAAGCCTTCTATTTCCCGCGAATATCATTCAATACCAAAAGTTCATTTGTCAGCAATTTTCACAGCATTATTGTGAAATCGTTCTAAGAAGAGGACCTACAGCTCGATAATTTTATTTATAACAAAGACGATATGCAACAGTTCATATGGCACACTGGAATGAAATCGAATATTCTGTAAACCCTTATAATTTTGTTCAGCTATTACGCAATTCTTTAATTTATAGTTCTAGACAAGCACTTCTTCGTTTCTTAAAGTTCCTGTATTAACCTCCATCTGGAATCAACTGCTTCACGACAGTCTTCTAAATATATGTTCCGACCACTTCATTTCCAAGTTCTGATTTAAATGAGCTGGCATTCTTCAATTATAGAAATGTTACGTATAGAGGCGTTGTCAAACTCGGAATACCTGTGACACTGCTTGTGTTATAACTCGATTTCATATATTTGTGGAATTATGGCTTAGCTCGGTTTTAGTCTTACTCTGATACACTAAATCCTAAAATTGTAGGTTTGTCGTGGTATGACCACCTAATCTTTTAGATCTCACGCTGACTCTCCGTATCGTAAGAATCAGCAATTTAACATCTAGTGCTTTTGATGAATATGTTTGTCATCAAGATAGAATAATTTATTTAATGTGATTAACGACAAGCTATGGAGAACGACCATGTCTATGAGGCTGTTCTATGTTCCCGCGTCCACTATTATAAGTTGGACATAAATCTATCCAGTAATTCTGTGTTTAGCTTCAAAAATCGTGTAGTTAGGAACCAGTGCCACTACATCACTCTCCCAACTTTACGTTGGTTTAATACCAAGTCGGTTGAGATTGTCGCGCTCTGGAGGTTACCAAGAGAAGAGGACATTGGTAGACAGAAAGACAAATCAAAAAGATGTTGGCAGTAACTGATCGGGAAACACATAATAATTTCATAATGTTTTCTTCCATCCTTAACACGCTTAAAATGAGAATCCACATGAACATTACTTATACGTCGAGTAAAGCAGGATTATAACAATGAAGAATGATTTAGCGGAGATATTTTAACAAGTCGCATTAAGATGCATATTGGTCTTATCTTTGCTCAAAATTATAAAGTCAGTCAACGTTCATAATAAAATGTAGTTCGAATGAGTTGAATGCTGGTCGACGCTGTATACATATGAGTCGAAGGTATCGAGTTTGAGATAATATAAAGATCGATTTATATGAACTTGAGTGATATAAGATGTTGAATTCGATAAAGCCGTTGTGCCACAAATTTAGGTGACATGGTGTTGTACGGTTAAACAGATTTTTACGAGATTACAAACTGTGAATGCTGTTCATGCGATTATCAGGGAGAGCATAAGTTGTAACCAAGAAGAATACAGTTCCAAACCCATGTCTATGATAATGGCATGAACCTTTGTCAGTGTTGCTGTAAATTCGACAGTGTTTTCAGTTTGCAGGAGATTCGCTCAACTGCTTATACTGATGATTTGCGTGCATGATCGTAACGCTAAACCTTCAATTAGAGATGTTTTCTAAATGAACAAGTGGTAGAAAAACATGCTGAAATATTCTATAATAGATAGAGATTGTAGAATTATGTTCCACTTTGTTATTATCATTATGATGATGGACCTAACCCTGAAATTATAGATATGTCATGATGTGACTGCCTGATTCATAAGAAATAACGTGGAAGTTACATCATTGTCTATTTTGACTCGTCGTATTATAACAATCAGCAACATAGTGTCCATAGTTTCTAAAGAATACAACAAAGCTAAAGATGGAATGATATATTCAATGTGAGTAAGGACAAGTTATACAGAATGACCACGTGTGCGAGGCTAATCAATGACATCTGATGGAATGAATGAATGTTTCTGCGTTCTCTGTTATTAACATAATTATATGCTCAACTTCAAAGGTCGTGTGGTTAGGGTCCGATGCCACTACACGATAACCACGAGAAAACATTATTTAGTAACAATTGTAGGTTGTGGTGGTTCCCAAATAAAAGGAGCTTAAACAAAATATATTGACACACTAGGTTAATAGTGGTATACCAAAAAAATAATAGTAAAAAAAACCTAGATGTCTGTCCGTTAGTAAAACCAAAGGTAACAAAACACCGTTAGCAATACAAAAGGTATAACAAACAAACAGACACTAATAGTTACTATAGAATGAATGTTACTTGTGAACTGCCTCGTGAGAACAACGACCACAAACTGAGTTCACTTGATTGACAGGTGTTCCTCTTCAAGTGACTGCACCAATGACGTAATGAGGAGGACGGAATCCAATAGTACTATACAATAATCCGCGCCAAAAGTCCGACGTTGAGTCGGAAGGCCTATAATGACGTTATAATACTATTATAGTCTTCAATTAAAACGGTGGCCAACAAAACAGAAGAACAAACGGCGTAGATAGTGTTCTATATTTTAAACAATGCGGTAGTAGAATCGTATATCATTCATCGAAACAATTATCATCGTCTCTTTAACAAGTGATACAGCAAAACAACAGATATTGAATAAAAATGTGGTTACAAATAAAGTGTGACAAGTTAGAGAAAAAATGTGGTCTTTATTTTTGTTGTTACAAAAAATCATTAAATATATGTCACCATAAGGTTAATTTGTCGACATGGAGTACGTCTTAATACGGTGACTGTTGACTTACCGACGTTAAACGCCATTTTTTAAACCCAAATGAGTGTAATAATAACTACTATGATGAGTTTAGTTGAAAATGGTGGAAACGGTTCGAATTATTAGTCAATTTAAAAGGCATAAAGATAATATAGTATATGTGTACCCTGTGAGTACTGCGTCGATATCGCCTAATGTCACAAGTACGTCCTGGATTCTACTGCTAACCACCATCCATCTTTGCCTATAATGCTTGTGAATTAAGGCAATATCGACGCATTACTCACAGTTTGCACATATGCCAATAAGAGACTGATCAATTGCAGTCCTAATCATCAATTTTAATATTCAAGTAAACAATACCCAGTGAATCAACAGAAAATGTTTCGAATATTTCATAACAGAAATTTCTCAAAGGTTTTAACATTTTAGGAAAATTTATTCTTTATCAAGATAACTTTCAATCAAAATGTTAAAGATAAATTGTATATAATAAAGTTGATATTTTGCAAAAATAAGATTCTTGATAATTTTACAACGCTTCCACTATACACAGTAAATAAGACAACGTTTATTTCTGGAATCTCAGCGTAGGAAGAAATCAAGACGAAGAAGCTCTGGAAGTGAATAGGACACACATTGAGGGAAGAACCCAATTACATCACAAGGCAAGCCATCACATGGAATCCTCAAGGCCAAAGAAAAAGGGGAAGATCAAAGAACGCATTCTGCCGAGAAATGGAGACAGACATGAGAAGGATGAACAACAATTGGATAGAAATGGAAAAGAAGGTCCAGGACAGAGTGGGTTGGAGAATGCTGGTCGGCGGCCTATGCTACACTGGGAGTAACAGGCTTAAGTAAGTTATTTAAAAAAAAATAGTTAAGTCAATCAATAGTATGTGTACTGTCATATTTCATATATCTTTATTTAAACAAACATTCTATTTATTGTTTATTGGTTATTTCCTTTTAAGTTGTACCGTGTTGTAAAACACATTACATTCTCATTTTGGGTGTGAACTTATTATAAAACGGTATGGTTATTACTTTTGATTAATAAAATTTCATATAGATGTCTCAATTCATGTTTTTATTATGGTATGTAATTTTAATTATTCAAACAGGGATTACATCAATTAAAGGTAAGTTAACGTGTATATAGTTAATGAAATAAGTTCATTTACATTCAATAATAAATAGTATTGTATTCATTCAATATTGATTCTAATCATGTTAGTTTTAATAGATAGTAACTAGATGATTGCACTTAATCACGTAATACCATCAGATCACGGTATTGTATGGTATGAAACACTTATTCTCCTGCAGATGATTCATTTAAAAGTCTATTATTTCTGTACCTTTAAACACCATCAAATATACTTCTCCTTCAAATCATTATTACTTTTCTTCATTGGTTGTCTTTGATGCAAGTCGTTGCAGGATATTAGGAAAATATAATTTATTATCTAAGGAAACTCATAAGTGTAAGAATAAATTTTGAGTATTATTTCACTAGTGGTGATAATATTGAAAACACCTTCCAAATTCATTAACGTCATTATTTTGGTATCCAATGTGAAAAATGATAATAATCAGTTTCAATTATCTTGACGTCTTCCAAGTATGCTGTATTTTTCTAATGATGATATTCCTTTTGAGAGTCCAACCATTTATCTATCACTTTCAGCTCCCAAATAATATCAAAGAAATCTGCACACAATTTATATCTATGTCAGTCGTCACTAATCGATTTGTCATTAATTAGTTCTATTATCACTGTTATTAAATTTAGCCTCATGTGAGTCAGCTTTTTATGTTTGTTTTTAATAAAATTACAATTAAAACTACCTAATGATTTATCTTTTGGGTTATTGTAAGTGTAAAGTAAAAGCCCCGATGAGCAGTTCTCATAGACACTAGTAACCACATGGAAGTACTCACCACTAATTTATCATTATACTTTCAATAACTTTCCACTCAACACTTGATAATCTAGACAACAAAGTAAACACAGAGGTGTTATGGTCAATCAACTCAACAATGAAGATGAATGTGTATTTATATGAAATTTAGAGTTGTTCTTAAGAATTGACCACCAACAATGAGATCACTAAACAGTATGCAATATTTTATACGAATATTCGTCAAGATTAGAACGAATAATTTGATTATTACCCTGAAGAAGTCCAGACAAGTTAGCTGGACGAAACGTTGGAGTTAGTTAAATTTCAATCGCTGAGAATATTTCAAATATAATTTTCACATAGTATGCAATATTCTTAACAATTACATTGCATAAAGGGATTGATAAATTAGTTAGCC